AGAGTGAAAGGATGAGCAAATTTTCAGATGGTTGCTACTCCACAGTTTCAATTTATTTGGTGCAGTTGAAGAGCCTTTTGTTTGCACTCTCAGATGGTCTATACAAAACAGAGACCTCAAGAAACACACATCTCTCCACACACTACAAAGGCAATCACAGTATTTCATTTTTTTTTTCTACCCATAACCTATCTTCTTCCGTTGCCGTGTAGCAGAGGTCATAGAGCCAATTCAGTTTTTCTAGCTATGTCTATACCTGTAAATAAAGCAGGGCTAGGGCATGGGTCCAAGTATTGTCCTGTGATTATCCGTGCTGGGGGATGGTTAGCATGCTCCCTGGTGCCATTTTGGCTCGGGCCGCAAGTACTCTCCCACCTATGCCTAAGCATAGCTCAGGCACATGCCAGCAACCATTCCCTGTGTACATTTTGGCTGCAGTCTCCCTTTTTTGGGGTAGAGAGGGAGTTTTGCTGTGTAGATGAGAACCACACACTTTCACCTGGCCTCTGAGCCAGGGAGTGGTCTCAGTACTGATTTATTTAGTACTATAAAGGTAGTCTGTGAGCTAGATTCTGTCTTCATGAATATCCTTCTTGTAAAGGAAGCCCTTTAAGGCTCTAAGGATAAGCATTGGCCTCCAGTCCTTTGTCACCATGAGATTGCAATGGACGTCCTCCTTAATCCGTCCAGTGCTAGGCTGTGCCCATATTTAATCCTGTTTATATCAACAGGAGTCTCCAGACGTAGTTCTCAGCACCTCTTGGCACATGATGGGTGAAATGTAAAGCATCCTGTCTTTACATCTTACAAGGAGCCACTAAGGAAACACCAGGCTGGAGAGAATCAGCAGTTGCTCTTCATCCCACTCTGGTTCCAGCCATCACAGCATTTGGTGCCTGGATGTGAGCAGAAGAAAGAGGAACAAGAAAAAATTATCCCTGCAATATTATTAGGTCCATTCATGCACCGATTCCCTACTGCCACCACACATACACAGAGTGACAAAATCCCCAGGTCCCTATTCAGGGTAGCACTCTGTTTGCTTTCCAAGGATGGGAATTATTTCAGTGATATAAGGAGGTTGACCTAGACAGTGATATGAAACAAGGCAGGAAAATAGCTTTAATATTCCTTGTTTAGGTTCTTGTGGGCAGGGATCTTCCCTTTCTCTGTATTTTATAGGCACATGAGTCAGTCAAATAATAAAACATCACAATGAGTAGAGCAGAAAAAAACAGATGATAGTATGGTCTCTTAAAAAAAGGAATGAAATGTCCATCCCTTATAAGATGTCTATAAAATGGCTAACTAGCCAGAAAACAACAGATTTTAAAGGAAACAATGCATTGGCTATGGGATAAACAGGCACGTGACCACTATTCCATCTCTAACTCCTATTCAAAGAGGTAAAATATGTTTTCCATAACATTTGAGTGTATTTAGACACTGAGCAGCCTGTCTAGTAGCCTAGTTCTAATTGATATGTGATAACGATATGAAAATGTATTTTCGTCCCCTGAAACCCTTGAGGATCACTTCATCTGTTGCACTAATTGCTACAGTTTTGTCTCAAAATCCTAAAAGGGGTTTAAGAAAACAAATCCTAGTACCCCCTGATTAACTTGACCTGTATTTCTATTGCCTATATATTACAGTTTAAGTGGGAGTTTAAGAGGAGGGCAGCCCAGTGGCTTAGTTTAGTGGCTTAGTGTGTGTGCTACAGATAGGATTCCCATTCTTTCTCTTTGGTTTCCTGGCTTGGCAAAGGCAACAAGTGTTGCATCTTCTGGATGGGTGGAAAAGAGAATATCTCATCTCTCAGCAGTGACCTCTCCAGTTAATAAGGTAGCAGTACTGAAAAGAAAACTGTAGTCTCTACCAAAGCCAAAATGAGGATGGCTAAAGGGAAAGAATCCCAGAAAGTGTAGCAAATGTAAACAGGAGGGTCTTCACTGCTCCAGACAGGCACACAATAATCCTTTTTTCTTCATTAATACTGCAAAGTATTCTACTTCTCACTCCATCTTTGCATACCAGTTTCTCTTAAAGGAAGGAAATGAACTTTCATTGCAGGCATACTGTCTATATTTATTTGTCCCTCTTATATTGTGGCAAAAGGCTTAAGTGTATACAAGTAGTTCCTGTAAGTTCTGCAGGCAGGAGTGGCTCTTTAGTAGTGTGGCATCACTTTTTCAACATCTATCTGCGTGTGTATGTGTGTCTGCACGTTACAGAGAGAGACGCAAAGAGCAAGCGGTGCAGCTGAATTTAGAAAGTTATAGATGTTCTCATCAGCCCCATGCAATGCAGCAGAGATTCCTTCCAAAAGCCAAGGGAGCAGAGGCTGCAGACAACAGATGTGAGAGGGGTTCCCATAACTGTCAATTTTCAAAGTGTTTGCATTGAAAAGAGAGGAGGTGCTATTTCAATTGATATTTCAGTCGCAGTATATAAAGCAGAGGAATTCTTCTTACCCTCTGCTTGTCATACTGATCTGCGTACTCTCTCAGCTGGACTTGGGGCTACCAGTTACTGCATCTGAAAGGCTGAAACTCACTGGGAATAAAGAATTCTTGTAACAATGCCGGAACCCACCAAGAAAGATGGTAAGTATAACAAATATTACCTGAATGTTTCTGAATTACAGGAATTATGAGTACGCACACATGCAAAACCTTTTTTAGACCATCTTGCATATTTCAACAACAAATAATATCTAAGAGTGATAGCTGTGTAACATCATTATATCATTACAGATCACCGATCCTTTCAAACTAAGAAATTACTTTCAGGTAGGGGTATAGCACAAAACTGTTTTGACCTCCAACCATTTTAGAGAATAAACAATGGCTTTGCAGAGATATTGAGAAACTACTTGATGGGACAAATGCTACGTTCACTTTTTAAAGACTGCACGTTTTTGGTAGTGCAATTAGTGGTTTCTTTATAGCTAAGATATCTAGACTCTGGAAAACAGGGAATAAGCATTTCTTATGATTTAAAAAGTCACCATATTGATATTTTTTAATAGTTTTATAAATTATTAAATAGAAAAGATGTGTTCATGAAGCAGTTTCAAGATTCTGATGAAAATCTATTTTATAAGTCTAATGCATAAGTGAAGAATGTAGTTAAGTTTTTCTGTACGGGTCAAAATGGAATGATACATTTTGCCACAATACAGAAATTATTATTTTATGTTTCAGAAGGACAGTTAAAGACCGGTAATACTGGCTGGTTTTGTGGTACTATTAAGTTCATAGCAAAGAAACTGAGTATGTAGTCTGCTAGCGAGATACAGAATTGTCCGTTGGAGACTGTCCAAACAGGCATAAAATGTTCAGGGTTTATTAATTCATAGCTTATTAAAAGCTAGCATTTATTTTTTACTATTTTGAAATTTAAGATAAATAATCTTCTAATATTTACATTACTTCTATAGACCTTCTTTTCTTTTTCTTTCAAATTTAGATGTTTTGGTAAGAATTTGCGATTATTGTTTAGCATTGACAATATACATAGCTTCTGCAAAGCCATAAATGTGCAAACTATATATGCTTTGCAAGTGTTGGCAAACAAGAGATATACAGACAGGTTCTCTAACGCATTCTCAAATGCAAAACTGAGTTTAATCTTAAAGGTAATCTTGTGGAAAGTATAGAAGTCATTAAATAGCATTTACTTCCCATCAGTTCTGAAAGATGTGATAGGCCTATGTGTGTAGTTTGAATGAGTACATTTGATTTAACCCTGACCTATCAATAGCATTTGCCTTATTGTAAAAGTCTTTTTGAAATATTTTCTGGTTTTGTGGGAGGCAAGAGCAAAGCAACTATGAGGAGCATTATGGAGCTTCAGCACCTTGTTGGGTTGGGGGCATACAAAACCTAAATTTTTGCACAACTGAATCTTAAGCAAGTAGTGTTGACAGACCAATGTGATCATTTTACTTACTGGCCCTCCTTAGTGCTCGAGGACAATGATGGATGAAGTATCCTTCTGAAAATAGCTACACCAAGTGCACGTATTAATACGAAAGCCTAATCCTCTATATCAAACCTAGAGCCAAGCCCCTTCTAGAGTGTCTTATTTGTAATTCAAATGATTTACACATGTATTAAGTGTCCTTTTTATTTGATCTGTTATTTGACTGGATATTACTCAGTTTAATCAGAATGCATTCTGTGGCTGCCAACTAAAAAAAACCCTAAAATATTTCTGCACTTTCAAAAGATATGTGCTTCGGAGAAAATCTGTTAGGAGGCTTATGTTTCTAAAGGTTATTATTTTGTTTAAGACTAGATTCGAAGATGTTCTTACAATGCAGTGATTACAAATGCAGCTCTGTGGTTGTGTTACAAAATAAGTTTAGCGACTCTGAACAGCATTTTATTTACGGTGGAATAAATGTGATTTTAGATGAGTCACTATTCAGGAACACAAAAAATATTGAAGCCTTCTGTCCTGATAGAGTTAGAGTTCACAGAATCATAGAATCATAGAATGGCTTGGTTAGAAGGGACCTTAAAGATCATCTAGTTCCAACCCCTGTCACAGGCAGGGACACCTTCCACTAGACCAGGTTGCTTAAAGACCCATCCAACCTGGCCTTGAACATTTCCAGGGATGGGGCATCCACAGCTTCTCTGGGCAACCTGTGCCAGTGCCTCAACACTCTCACGATGAAGAATTTCTTCCTAACATCTAATATAAACCTTCCCTCTTCCAGTTTAAAGCCATTGCCCCTTGTCTTATCACTCCACGCCTTTGTAAAAAAGTCCCTCCCCAGCTTCCTTGTAGGCCCCTTTAGTTACTGGAATGCTGATATAAGGCCTCCCTGGAGCCTTCTCTTCTCCAGGCTGAACAACCCTGACTATCTCAGCCTGTCTTCATAGCAGACATGCTCCAGCCCTCGGATCATCTTCATGGCCTCCTCTGGACTCGCTCCAACAGGTCCATGGTCTTCTTGTGCTGGGGGCCACAAGCTGAAGGCAGTACTGCAGGGAGTCTCACCAGAGCAGAGTAGAGGGGAACAATCCCCTCCCTCGACCTGCTGGTCATGCTGCTTGCGATGCAGCCCAGGGTACGGTTGGCTTTCTGGGCTGTGAGCACACATTGCCGGGTCATGTTGAGCTTCTCATCAACCAAGACCCCCAAGAGCTTCTCCTCAGGGCTGCTCTCAATCTATTCTTTGCCCAGCTTGTATTTGTGCTTGGGATGAGTTCACGAGTAGTAAAGAGCTCTGGGAAAGTGATAAATACAGGTTGTATGCCTCGTTGTTCCTCATTGCACCCAGCTTATTTGCAGCCAGTAGATCAGGGTGATAACAGGTCTATTTTATTGTACCTTATTGTTCCTAAAGATTTTTCATTGATCAAGAACTCACCTGAACTGGTGGCAGTAAGTAAGTACTTACTTACTTAAGTAAGTACAAGTACTTACTATATTAGTGGCAGGAGTATTTGGTACCAATAATAGAACAATACCACTGCTACTACCCGTACTAGCTCTACCAGTAAGAATTCAGAACCTCACATGCCCATCAAATGCCTGTTCTCAAGGTAATTTCCAAGGTGTGAAGGATTGAAGGTTACGAATTAATGAAGGTGAACTTTGGAGTGACTACATTCTGAAAGGTACCACTGGAAGGACTTTCTGAGAAACCTTTGGGGAACTTGTTGGCAGACTGCAATACAAAGCAGAGGAAAAAAAGAAGCTTAAAGCTTCTGCATCCCATGGGCACCTAAGTGGTATTCTTCTGACATTTCCAAAATAAGCAATCTACATGATCCCATACTCCTTATTCTCATAGATCCTGCCAGTTAAAAACAGCACACAGAAGAGCAAGCAGCTGAGAAATCAGAAACTGGCTAACACTTGAATGTTAAGAAAATCTCAGCTTTGCATGTTTTTGTCACTGCAGTCTCTGAAGTACACAGCTAGATTTTCCAGAGGCAGTGCTGTAGCAAGCTCCTAGGCTTTTTTTCCAGGCCAAATGCTCTTTGAACTATTTTAAGATTATTAGATTACCAAAGTGAGAAATTTCCTGACTTGGTGAGAGCGTAGCCTCACAATGTGCTCTTAACAAACAGGATCACCAAATTAAACACACCACTCAGCTTAGAGAAGGTTGCTGGAGCGCTTCAGCCTGATGGAATTTGTCACTGTAGAAACGAGCTTCCATGACTAATGATTTAAGGCCTTTATTGTACTCCTAAAATGTTGAAGTCCTATATATTACATCAGCTGTGGCTTCTTTGGAGTATATGATCATGCTGTTGTAAGATAGTTTTGTCTTAGCCTGTTCAAAATTTCATATTCGCAAGGTGAAGTTTACATCAATAGCTTAACTGATTCTAGTGGATGACTATGAAAGGACTGTGATGCCAAAGACCTTCACTAACGCATTTAAATTTAATGGCCTTTAGTTTTCCTAGTGACTAATAAAATAATGCTCCTTTATATAATTACTTCCTATAATTTATTGTAATCACTCGGTCAATCTTTCCTCTCCCTCCTTTTCTTTAACCAATATTCATAATATGAGCTACCCATTAATTAGGTGCCCTCTTAAACTGTCACAGGCCATGGCATTTTGATATGCTTTTGTAAAAGTGCCAAGTCTCTCAAGAGCAACGGTTTCAAACTATTTGTGGGCATCATCCCACAGGGACAGGTGCAAGTCAGTCCCCAGTAGGCAGCTCTGTAAATTTGCCTTATTTATTCTCCCCAATCTAGGAAATAACTCATGGCCATGAGTTAAGCAACCATTCCAAATTTTACACCAAAGCATTTATCAACTGTCTGCCAACTTCATTTTCTAAGGGTTTGGCAAGCTCCGCTTGAATACTGCCTGAAGCATCCACATATTGGCAAGGAATCAAAATTAAAAAATCAGTGTGTCTACAGTGTTTTAGTAAAACTTTTTTTGATCTATAAACAACATAGATGTAAAAGTTGCAGAGAAAACTGTGTGTATACACTGTCTTTTAGAAGGACAGTCTCTAAAACATGAAACAATTTGTGAAAAGGAGGTAAACAGACATGTCAGTAGAGGCTGCTTTGGAGATACGGTAACACTGTTCTCTCTGCAGAAGTCTGGTTGAAACAGCCTTTACTTCTATTGCCTTTTAAATATGACTGGTTTTGTTTCATTCTGTGATTCTTCTATAATTATATTTGCATTATATTTATAATATTTAAAATGATACCACAGTCTGGTGTATCAAGATAATAGGCACTGTCAAGCAAGTCAGCTAGTCATATAAATCATATAAGGAGACATGTAGAGCAGCATTCCAGTGGGAAATCAATCTCAGTATCAAGATTGGATAAGAGTTAATTAAAGTCAGATTTCTTTTAATATCATGTTTTCAAGGCTAGACAATTTTTGAGAGGAGATAAAGAAGTTAAATAGAAATTCTGCTTCGGTATATGGATTTAGCTTGTGTCAAAATTAACACCACTGATGGGAAGTTTTCCTGAAAATTCAAGAACCCGGCATGTGAACATTGTATAGCATTGCTTACAGCTTTCCATGCAGAAGATTGGACCCATATAATCGTTTTATTATGGCACCAAACTGGGTAGTGCAGCTGCTGCTGTC